TCTTTCCATAACATTTTTTCCCATTGGATGTTTGCCTTACAGCAGAACACTGGTGCCTGATGACCATCCATCAGGTGGTTCCCACTCCTATTTTATTCTGGTATCACCACGACTCCTGTGTCACTGACAGTTAAAATGTGGTGCATTTTACTGAACTATATGTCAACAGTGGTCATGGCAAGGATGTAGAATTATGCTAAATATAATTCCAACAAGCTCAGCTCTAGATGCATGGCAATGTGGAATTGATTAGTAACCAAAGTACATTTTCATTTATTGCCTTTGTGCTAATGGTAATATTGTTTGCTTTAATAATATTGGCTGGGGTATATGTAGCCATTGACTGGATCTGATCAAGGGTGGCTTAAGATTAGGCAATAGTTGTCTGTTTGGCCTGCAAGAAAATAATTTTTTCTCATCCTGTCCTCACTGGGTTGGTGCCATGCCAGTCCTTCATGCTTGATACCACATGTTGGCTCAAGGTGATTTTTAGAAGAAGTTTAAGGTAGATTCTGTCATGGTGAATAAACTATCCTCTTGATTTTAGTGTTTAATTTTTATTTTGTATGAAATAAAAATTTTAATGAAAATTATTTGGCTAATCTTTGCATTTCTTAGCTATGGAAATGCCATATTTGAATAATTTTTCTCTACTTCTAATTAGCCAGTACCACATTGTCCTAAATATTTTATCATGTTTCCTTCTTACCCTGCCTTTGGTACCTGCCCTTGATTGTAGGCATCTTTCTTTTCCTCATTGCAGTCAGTGTAAATATAACATTTGTACCCTTTGCTTTGTAGTGCTAATGACGATTTGTCACAGCTTCCTTGCTTGTAAGTCAAGATTGAGTTGCAGAGAAGTTACTTGCCTTTTTCATAAGTATTGAAGCCAATAGATGCTTGAAAAAAAAAGACAGATATGAACTAGAAGTATGTGAATTTTTTTCCCCCAGTGGCGTTCTGCAAGTAAGATGCAATTTTCCATAGAACTGGAATGAATTGTATCTTGTATACTGAGAGACTGCTAAAATCACAAAGCAAAGATGAGTCCCTGCACTGGTTTCTTGGTCACCTTGAGGAGATGACAAGATAAGTAATATAATCAGTTACTGCACAGTCCAAGAAAGTTTGATTACTTTGAGGTGTTTAATTTACTTTTCTTCAGCAGAACTGGGAGTGCATGCATAGTGAATAATAAATCACCGGAGTGAATTAGCATTTTAGGGCAGATATTTGGTTTTGGGGATGATGGACAACTTGAAGACTGCAGTCAGCAAGAATGGGGAGAACTTCATCTAATGTCTTCTCATCTGTAGAAGAAGTTGTCCTCTTGCTGAAGAATTTCAGTAGCAGAGGTTAATCCTTTGCTGCTTTGTTGTCTATAAACGTTTAAAGGTTTTATCTGTCTGCTGAAAATAATTATGGAAATTTTCTTTTGTTTGCTTTAGCAGAGAACAATTCCTGTAGGATACTGAGGGATGTTGTTTTTCGCTGTGTTTTGGGCATTGTATTGGAAACACATTTTGAGCAGAAGATCTAAGTGTTCTTTTCATTATTGTTTATGCTAGTTTTTAGTAGCTTGTGCTTTCCTAGGTTTGCCAATAGAGAAGCTTTTAGTATGAAAGGCGCAGAGAGAACACTTTTGGAAACTTAAATATTCCACTGCAGCTTCTCTTTTTGAGGTTATCTTTAACATCAGAATTTTCTTATTTGAACATTACTGTTCTTTTTAGAGAAATAAGTTAATATTCTGCCCAACCAAAACTCCTTTATTTATAGGCTGCATTTTGCTTTCTTTAACTAACTGTTCACTGGGGACACTGAACAGATACAAACCTTCCCAGATGATATTTAAGATGGTTTGGTTTTCAGCTTTATCAATTCTGTAATGTTTTCATTTTCATGTTCAGTTCTGAAGAACAGTGTTAATATTAAACTGTCTGTTTTAATGAATTAAATCACACTTGCAGTATAAAATGAGCAAAGACTCCTCCTTAACTTCAAATACATTTAAACTATTGGTATTTAAAGGAGACTCTTCCCAAAATGTGTCAGGAAAAGAATTGCACTGCATCAGGAGTCCCTTTGAATTTGTGAAGGCGTAGCTCTGACAAACATTTGGGTTGCTTATTTTTTCCTTAGTAGGTGCCAAACAGTGAGTTTGAAAACTACTGTTTCTTGTCTATTTTCACATGATTGTTTCTTTAATTAGCTATAGTACTATTTTGTCTGTATAAAGGCTTTGCAAGACAATGTAAACATTGAAATAGTTGTCTATAGATACCAGATGCAATGCTTGTTCAGTGGGAACTGTCTATGGAATATGCCTTTAGGATTGGTATGGTCTGAAAAAATAGATGGCTCAGCATCTAATGAGTTTAGCACTAGTAATACAAGAACACCTTTCAGGGGTCAGGATGAAGGTTTATCTAATCCTACATCCTGTTTTGAGAGTGATCTGTAGGATACTGTGGGAAAGCTATAAAAGCAAAACAAATGTAGAATGATATTTCCTGTACTGTGTCGTTCCAGAGTTTGGGTTTGTGGCTTGTAGAGAGGATATTTGCATTCTCTTGATCCTTGATGAGTATTTCTTCTGTGATTTGTATGGCACTGACCTTTCATGGTGTGTTGCACACTGAATAAAAGAGATATAATAAAGAAACAATTTAAGAATGCTGAGCCAGACATTCTGGGGCAATAAATGCCAGAAGCAGCAAAACTACGTAAATCGCTTCATGCCTTTGGCTAACTTTAAGGCATCTGAAAAAATCATCCTTTGTAGGTGTTTATATAGTATGATCAAGACTTTTCTCTTCTTGACAAATGATGGTGGTTGTTAAGAGACTAAACAGATGTTCTTTCCAGATACCAGATCATTCACATAGCTCTAGTAATCCTTTTCTCTTGTATCATCTGCTTTGAAGAGAAGAGCAGAACTGTGTGTACTCTAAATTGGTGAGTCTGGTATTGGCAGCAATATTATCTCTTGTCTTCCTCTCTGGTACATAAAAGAGAATATTTTCATTCTTCTTTCCAACAGTGCTCTGAGAGTTCCCATTCTTTTGATGAATAATTAGCTGTCTTGGTACTGTGATCATGAATTTTTACAATAAAATACAAAGTCACCTAAGGTTCAGTGGCCTTCCAGGTTTTCATTGCTTGTTCAAGCAGTGGCAGCGCCTGACAGACACCCACTTTGTGGATATACCATTTGGAATTTGGTAGGTTTGAAATATATAGAGCTTTCTTGAAAGATGCACTCGGTCTATGTAAACAGGTTATTCCCAACTTTAATTATTTTATAGAGGCTACAAACACTCATGGCATGTTTGCTCAGCAGAGACTTGTGCTGTTGGTGAAGGTTATAAATTGGCCTTAAACCAAACATATATGTTGCTTTAACTCTTTCTTTAGAAAGATTCTACAAACTGATATTTCTGAATTAAGAGCATTTTAGGTCTATTAATGAAGTGGATTAAAATCAAGTCAGTATATATTTGTGCAGTACTAAAGTACTCTTATCAATCCATGTATAACCAGTAAATTTACATGGTGTTTGTGTGTGACAGAGACTCTCCTCTTGTATCAATTTTATTTTCGTGTAAAATTTCAAAATAAAGAATGTAAGGGTTAAAATTTCATGATGAAAACATTTTCTAAGATTTGTAAATCTTTAAAAGTCTGTCTCCAAACACAGCATGTACAGCATTAGGCGGAAAAAAGTCCCAGGCATCCAAGAGCATTTAGTTGTGATTTTTCAAATTTGTCAAATGAAAGCAGAGAGCTGTAATAAAAGCTGTCAGACTGTTTTAACTGCAGATTTTGTTGCTACTTGCATTGCTTACTATGCTGTGACAGATAGTGTTTATAGTTTTCAAACAGTTTTTGCCAAGTGATAACTGTTTATCTTTGGAGATATGTGGGTTCCCTATATTTCATCTGAAATGATTTTTATCAGTTCATGGTATGATTCATGTTTGGTGTGCCTGACAACATCCTTCTGCATTTTCTGGCCTCCTCAGAGAAGGAGTTTAAACTTACCACTCACTAAGTAACTCCCCACTCTTGTTTTGCTTTGTCCCACAAATTGCTCTCATCAGTTGGTTGTAAGTTGAATTCTGACCAATTTTGGCATATTTCTGAAATTTAGTTGGACTTTGTTTTTTTTTGTGATGAAGGACTCTGTGCAATATTCTCTTTCAATCTGTACTCTTAAGATCTATTTGTAAACATAAATGAGGAAACATAATATATGTATTACAGTAGATACAGACTTAATTAATGCATACAAGCTCATCATTACTGCTTCTTCAGTAGAACTTAAACTTGTTCTTTGCTTACTAATGCTGTTAGGTATATTTTCATACATGAACATCCTTGAGTCACTAAATTTGCCAGAAGTAAGAACTGACGTTTTCTTACACAAAAGGAGAGTGAACAAGAAGATGCTTTAAGAATAAAGTAGCAGAATTTGTCTTTGCCAACCATGTATCTTGAGTAATTACATTTGTTATAGCTGTTAAGTGCACAGAAGAGCGAATTCTGCATACATTCTTATGAGATCACTCTGATTCTGTCTTTTATTTTGCACAGAAACTGTTTCCCTAAATGAAAGAGCTCCTTTTTTTTTTATGTGTTAAGACTTGTCTGTTGGTAAAAGGTGGATGCAAATAGCTGATCTTCTAGTACTGTAAGCTTTATCAAGTGCCATTTGGTTGCCACTAATATTTGAATTCTAGGGAAGAAAAGATCTACTGGTCTGAATCCATGTCAGTCCCAGATGTTTAGAGCTCTAGGTGTAGTTTTGAAATCAGCTCAAGTGAAGATATTAGCAAGTCATTTAACTGGTTTGCCTCTTCCCTTTGTTAAATGAGGATTTTTGTCTCTTCTTTGGACTGCTTATAAGGAAGCAAATGTAAATTCTCACTGGTTATTGAAAACACCAAAAAAAAATGTAATTTTTGTATGTCTCTTTTTTTCTTTCCCCTTCTGATCAGATACAAAGAAGGTGGTGAAGCTTTGTTAGTATTGCTTCCCTCTGAAGAAAAAGGCATGGTGGAACAGCTGGCACAGAGGAAAGTACCTATCAGTGAAATCAAGTAAGTGACTAATGGCCTGTCTGTTATTCAGCCTTCTTTCTGCAAGAATAATGTGTGATGAGTCTGTGGCAATTTTGATGAAGTGCTTGAATTGCCTGGAGCTGGACAAACCAGGGAAATCAGTTAGTTTTGGTAGTGTTGTAGAAGGCAAAGACCTTGAGAGGTTACCTATTCCATTGCAGTTCCCAAAGGCAGGATGAGTTGCACAAATCATTCTTATCAGGTGCCAATTTATATATTCACAATTTCCCAAAGAGGTCTTGTCTATACTCAGCGGTTCCTGCCATTAACGTTTTTTCTTCAAGTGTCTGATAAGCCTTGTAAGTAATTTAAGTGAAATATTTCTTTTGTCCTCTGCCAAGAATATATGGAAAATGATGTATTGTCTTATCCTTTGCAGCTACTTTTTATGTAATGAACATTATCATGCTCTCTCTTCTTTTGTTCTGCAGATTAAACAATTGCAATTTCTTTAATCTGTCCTTGTGTGTTTTTTATGCCTGTTATAATTTTTGTTTCTCTTATCTGTTTTTTCTTTAGTACTAGACTATTTCTCCAATTTATCATGACCTTTCTAAATGGGTTATTTGAAGGACAGGAAATAAAAGATGTGGCTAAATGGTCATTTTACATACTAGAATGTTCTGATGGAAACCTGTGAAGATCTATGCTATCTGTACAAATAGAGCTAACTTTGAAAGAGTTGCAAAAGCATATAACAGTACCATGTGAAAATAAAGCACATTTCCATTTTCTATTAAATGTGGAGTAATGGACATGTAGGAAAGGCAAAAACTCTAAGGGTAGAAATACTAGGGGAAAAAAACTACCCACCACTAAAAGAATCAATGGTAGTCTTTATTTAGCAGCTGTAGGTAGGAAGGAGTTCATTGTTCTTTGAGCCTGTCGGTCTAACATTAAGTCAAAAGAGAAAAGAGAATGTGAAGGAAATCTGGAAGAAGAATTGAAAACAAGCCAGAAAATGTGGCATAAGCCTGACTCGATTGTGAATACTTAGGTAGTTCAGGTCACACCCTGCCAAAAATTGTAGAGAGAGAAGAAAGCTGCGAAGGATGACAAGGTAGAACATGTAAGTTTCTGTACAAGTGGATATGAGCAAGGCTAGGACTATTTTACTTGGAAAAGCTGTGATGTCAATGTGAAGGTATGGACACGAAAGCAAAGAAGGTAATTAACTCTGTACAGAAAGTGTCTGTAGAACAATTGTTTTTGAGAAGAAATCAAATTAGGGTGAAACTTGAGGTGGTTATTATACCTCATTGCTTAAATCTTTAGGTCTGCTCAAATTCTAACAAGTTGACATTTCTGCAGAGGATAGAAACAATGCATATGGCATTTGCCAGTTGGAAGGTTTAGTTGTTGGGGTTTTTTAAAGTATTTTTTCATGTGTAGGACATCCCATTTCAGAGGCACCTGTGAATGATGGTTCTCTGTAACAAAGTGAGCACACAACAGCCCATGAAGTAAATCCACCTATTTGGCCAAACACACGTATAGATTCTGTGCATAACATGCATGAACTTCAAACATAAGACAACTTCTGCTAAACCAGCAAAATAAGGACTAGAATGCAGTCAGACAATTACCAAAAGTCTGTTTGTGCTTATAGCTTTTGTTTACATTGGTGTTTGAAAAAACCCAACCACACCCCAACAAAGCCAAACAAAACCTCACCAGCTGAATGTGGACAATATCAGTAAAGACACTGAAGTCTGATACTTTTTTTTCCCTTAAGCATCATAGTGCTTTAAAAGGATCTGTTGTATAACCACTACAGCCTAAGCAAATTGTCCCTTTTCCCAAATTTCATCTTTTTCCTTTTTAAAATGACAGGTATTCAAATCCTTTATCTTACTTTGGTATTCAGTAAATAGATATACGATCTCATGCTTATTATAAATATTTCCTCTTTGTCAGCTAAGCTTTTAACTTCTAAAGTAATATCACTAATTATTTGAATGGCTTATCATAGGAAATGGTAGAAAAGCCTCTTTAGCCTGTTTTTATTCATGTAAATAGGAATTGGTATTTCTGTACCAGGCTAACAATCCAATTTTAATAGGGAAAATATTTTATTTCCCTCCCATAAATGCATATGCGATTTATAATCCAAGTTAGATATCTCTCTGGAGAGACATCCATGGCTGCATCTCTTAACATATTCTTGCTAATCTGATGTTACTTCAGTGAAAATCTCTCTCTGCTTCTTTTTTTTTAACACTACCCCAAAAATTCATTCTTGTACCAAGCCACTAGAGCATGTATATTATAAATGCATGTAAGTAACATTCTTAGTTGGGATCATTATGAACAAAGTCAAGGCTTTTGACTGATAATATATTTTAACAGCCTGCCCCAAGATTCAGTTTTCAAATCTGCAAAGCAAACCTTAATAGAATTTGTAACATAGTAATGAAGGGGAATGCTTTCGCTTGGAATTGTCTGCCTAGTGTGGTTAAGATTTAAAAGGTTTAGCATTTTACTTGTACGAGGCTAATTCAAATCCGTAAAAAAAATTCTTCTAATTACTTGTGGATTGCAAGCCCATTGAATTCTAAAAGTTTTTCACTACAAATTTGCTCAGGTTGTTTACTTCTAGCCAGTTTCCCAATTAACACAACCCTGGTGTGTTTTGTCAGTTAACAAATTGTTGAAGTAGTTGCATCCACCCATGGATCACGCTCCAGGTCTTCTGTTGAAGTCTTCTGGTGTTGTTTGTGCTTATTCTCCTAATTATATATTCTCAAGAATTCTAACTTGGAAGTTAGAAGATAATGAGCATTGCTCACTGTCAACAGAGTTTAACTTCTCAAGTTTCTGAAATTCACTCTGAAAGCTTTTTTTTTAAAAGGCTTGTTTCTAAAGCATCACTGTCAATTAAAATGCTTATTAACCTGTTGTCTGGTGTGGTGGGTCACAAGAGCTCTGTTACCTTCCTTGGTTTGTGCTTTTTGATTTGCAAACAACACTTAATGTTCCTTTATTTCATTTAAACAGAACTTTTAAAACAGTTCCATAATTTGAAAGGAGAGAGTAGAACTTCTTTATTTTCCTGAATGCCTATTCAAAAGACTAGGGTTTAGGCTCTTTTCTTAATTTTCAATTTTAAATCTGAGCTCTGTGTGGAGGTTGTTAGTACATCAGTCCTTTGTAATCAACATAAGCTCCCAATTTACAGGTAGTGCTTTTAACAATACATAACTTTTCATTGTTCAAACAGAGCTAGAGAAAATGCAAAATATGCAATAATAAATACTGGATTTTAGAGCATTCAAATATGGCAAAAAGATACTCTGAAAGTATTAAATAGTATGTACATTTTTCTAAGGAGTCTTTAATTTAAAAGAATTTACATGCAAGCTGTAAATTGAAACTATTTTTGATAATACCTTAAGATTCTTTTGTCACATCCAGTTTTGTTAAGTAACAAGATAAGAGCTGCTTTCTTAGGGGTTACGACAACAAATTTTGTCTAGAAAATTTTACCAAAGGAAGTGCAAGTATGTAGATACCCATGATTTAATGTGACTTTCTTTAATACTATGACAAAAAAGTGGTTTTTGAGGAAAACAGTGATAACAAGAAGGCACTTTTTGTTTCCTGACAATGGTGAGTGACTTCCACATTACAATACTGTTACAACTAGGGAATCTATCAATTTCTGTTGTTGCTGTAGGACAATACATTGGTGTCACTAACCAGCATGGTTATGCACCTGTGTGTGACCTGTCTGAGCAGCCTTCATTAGGTCCCAGCTCTTCCTCCTCTCTCCAAGCCTTCCAGGTTGTCTACCATAACCACAGGGGACAGCAGGCTGAGAGCGCAGAGCAAAACCTGCTGTGTCTTGGAAGCTGGGTGGAATATGGAAACTGTTTTGCTACATCATGGCAGTGTGGTCTTTTTTTTTGTTGAGCTTTTTAAATTCTGCTTTGGAGAGGGGTGAGGAAGAGAGACTCTCTCTCACTGTTAAAACAGTGCTTGTATCCTAGTGTTAAAACCAGGGGAAATGAGAGAAAGTCAAACTGCATACCAACCAGGAAATTTGTAGAGTGCTGTTTAATTAGTTCATAAGACCAGACAAGCTGGGCTCATATTTATTTTACATTATGGCACAATCAAGTGTGGCCACTTATGCAACTGTTAGGTAAAACAGCAGTTTCAGAAAGTTATGCTATTCCTTTAAAGGTAAGATATGTGTTCACAGAGTGAAAAAAGAAACAGCCTAGTTAAAATGACAGTGTCATAAAATCTCCTTCTAGTCTTTGTGTAGTTGGTTCTAGCTCATTGGTTCTTAGCTGCTTAGGCAAGCTTATAAATTGTGGTAATTCATTTCAGTATTTAGCTTTTAGGTTTGTCTCTCCAAATAGTCACATGTATATAATTTATTGTAAAGAGTTTTATGTGTTTGGAAAGAAATAACATGCAAACTCATCAAAACCAAAATCCAATTTAACAATGACCAACTTTCACGGTTTTTGAATCTCAGCATGAGAGGAAGATGACAGTGGGTGACTGTCATGATACAGTGTTAGAGAGCATTACTACTCTTTTTAATATTCAGTGTTACGAATTTACTCATTCCTTAACAAATGCATAACCTCAAAATGTGCCTGGGGCACCATATTCTTGGTTGATGTTTCTTAGATTTATACCATGTTATTTTGCTGTGCTTTTAACTGTGAAGTATCTTGTGGGTTTTTTTGTCTTTTTTCAAACCCTTTTCTTGCAAATTTCTTCGAAATTACTCAAAATTTATGTGCAATCAACAAAATGTTCCTACATTGTCTAGGATTATTGTCCATTATGCTTGGTGCCTTAAAGACAGAGTCTCCTATAAATAGTGACTCTCATTCCTGCAATACTCAAGTCATAGAAAATAATGAGTAGTAGTGGGTCCACGTGAGACTTGGAACTTGATATGCGTTTTGAGTTAACAGTGACAATAGTGAGTAATTGCCAGTCTCGACTATGCTTTGAGTGCAGTTCCAAGGCCAGTTTTGCATTGCTTAAAGGTTTCATGTAGACTGTTTTCCTAGTTCCTGAGAATGTCTACCTGCTAGATGCTTTGCTGACACCAAATACATGTGCTGTTTCTTTCCTGTTTTTAAAGCCTTCCAATGCTGCTATAGAGTATAATCAAACTGATGAGTCACGTTTTGCTTCTGGCTATGCTACGTTAGCCATTTTGCTTATTTTTTTTTCATCCTTACAAATTGCTTTTTTGGTATCAAGAGAAAGTTAATTGTTTAACTTCCCTTTTGTTTTGACCCTTTTGAATATGTGCCACTGTATTTACCTGATCTGTCTCAGCATTTTTTTTGTCTGTCTCAGAAGAGTTCTTAATACATACAACTATGACTCCAAGCGCTTTCTTTCTTTAGTCGCTGTAAAGCAAATTTCTTTTGACCCAGCTGATTTATCTGAATCCCTATTATCCCATGATTTGTGATTCTGGTGTGAGCTTGGACTGTGCTCCAGCTCTTGTTAGCTGTCTGATTGCAGCTGCCTTTTTGAGTGAAGATGGAGGGAAAAGGCACTGGTTAATTTAAGTGCCTTGAAGTTATCTCTTAACAGCTTTCCCATAACTTAGCAGCAATCCAGCACTTCTGTCGACTTTCTTAGAATCATAGAATCATAGAATTTAAGGGTTGAAGTGGACCTTAGAGATCATTAAGTCCCAGCCCCCTGCCCTGGGCAGGGACATTTTCTCACTAGATCAGGTCGCTCAAGGTTTCTTACTACTGGTGTTCATGTTAATTTTTTTGTTTGTTTGTTACTCATGCTATCCCTTCTTTACTTCTTGCATTAATATGTTTCAAAGATTTGTTGGTTGGTTTGTCCCCCACTCAGTTTTTCGTACCTGTTCTTTTACTTTTTATGTCTTTACGTTTTCAGAGCCAATTATGTGCTGACTGGAAACTGGAACTCAGTTTTTTGATCTTTCACTAAAACTGTAGCTAAATAGCACTTGTGTACACTGCAGTTTTCCCCTGGTTGTATCTGAACAGAGTTAAGAAATTGAAATCGTGAGGGAATAAAGTTTCATGTCTATATAAATTATAATTAGAATACTTTTCTTTGCTAATATCCTCCAACTCCTTGCTTAATTGTTGCTTTCATATTGAGTAAGAGTGACTGATGATCATAATCATGTTACAAAAAAGACTGTAAAATGTTTCTTGCATAGTATTTTATTCAGTCATGTTTTTTAAACCAACTTGCTGCTATGTGAAGAGGCATGATTTTGTTCTGGTTTTTTTTTTTTTTTTTTTTTTTCCCCTTGAGTTCCTTCAGCAGAGGAACAGAGGTGTACAGAGGAGCAGAGGTGTATAGCATGGCATGACATAGAATCATAGAATTTTAGGGGTTGGAATGAAATTAATAGGTCATCTAGTTCCAAACCCCCTGCCATGGGCAGGGACACCTCCCACTAGGTCAGGTTGCTCAAGGCCTCATCCAGCCTGATCTTGAACACTGCCAGGGTTGGGGCATCCACTACCCTCTTGGGCAACCTGTCCCACTGTCTCACCACCCTCACAGTAAAAAACGTTTTCCTGATATGTAATCTAAATTTCCTCTCCTTTGGTTTGTACCCATTGCCCTTTGTCCTGTCACTGCAGCTCCTAACAAAGAGTCCCTCTCCAGCTTCCCTGTAGCCCCTTCAGATACTGGAACGAGATCTCATCTCCATACAACCTCCTCTCCTCCAGGCTGAACAGCTCCAACTCCCTCAGCCTGTCTTCATAGGGGAGATGCTCCAGTCCTCCTCTGGACTTGCTCCAACAGTTCCACATTCTTTTTATGTTGAGGGTACCAGAACTGTGTGCAGTATTCCAGGTGGAGTCTCATGAGAGCAGAGTAGAGGGGGAGAATCACCTCTTTTGACCTAGCCACACCCTTTTGGATGCAGCCCAGGATTTAATTGGCTTTCTGGTGGTGAATTTCTCATCCACCGTCACACCCAAGTCTTCTCAGTGCTGCTCTCAGTTACTTCCCCACCCAACCTGTAAGTGTGCTTGGGATTACCATGACCCAGATGTACGACCTTACACTTGTAAGACATGGCACATTGCAGCAAGAAGCAGGTTAAGAAATGTGGTAGTCGTGCATCTCTCTTGACTAGTACTTGAGTGGTAGCCTCCTACCAAGCTTGGTAGGTTATAAAATACACTTGGGTGGCACTGGCAGATCAAAGCCAGAAGTAGATGAGAAAAGATCTGGGCAAATAAACCTGCAATCATGTTGGTATCACTGGAATAAGTGTCAAAATCCAGAATCTGGGAGAGGACCTGCATATCTTTTTACTAGGTTTAATGGCATTTTCTGTAGTACAGCCACTATTCCTTATTTACTTGATCGAAATCTTGAGAAGCTCTTAAATCTCTTTAATTTCAATGTCCTTTATTATTGCTCACCTGGCTCTTCTTTCTAAGAAGTACTTAAATCTAAGTATTCCTAGCACAATGGATCTTATTTAAGCTTTCAAAAATGCTGACAGTTTCCTTATGAGTACTTCTATAATGGTATAAAGTACTAGTGTAATTCATTATGCTGCTCCTCTAGTTTTTCAGTGTTTTTATAAAATCAAGGAGTTCATTCTTGCTGATTTCTGCTTTGATCTGGAAGAAGTTTCACCACCTTCAGTGAAAACTGCCTCTGAATAATATGTTTGAGCTGCCATTTGTCGTTTCTTTGTTATTTGTTTGAGGAGTATATGCTTCATCATTAATATGGTTCCATGCTATGCTCTTTCAGTGTGGTAATAACATTATGCATATTAAAGCAATATAAAAGAGGTAAAGATACTCTTGAGAACATAACGGGTGCTTATTTTGCAGGTTCTAATAACTAAAGTAAACTTTTTTTTTTTTAAATTAGAATTAATCCTGAAAAACTTACAGACATCCAAAAGAGGATGCAAGCTTTCTTAGCTCAAGATCAGGAGTTAAAAGACAAAGCTCAAAGGGTAAGTCATCTGCTATGCTGTAGTTCCTGGGGCATGCTAGTTGAATAGAACTGCTGTTTGAATAACTGCTCAGCTCATATATGCCCTGGAAGCAGTGTTTGGAGCTGCTGTATTGTTCTGATTTTTGTGTTTTGAAAATCGGTGTCAGTAGAAATAGTAATCATGTATTAGCAGTTCTGGAAAGCATGTGTGTATAGCCTGCATGAGCTGATATGGGCTCAGTGTGGGTTCATGATGGTAAAACCTGAAGAGGCACCTGACCTATTGCTATTGTGCCTAAGTTAAGGCATATTTGAGTTAAGGCATATTTATTTTAGAGTCTTGGGTATGAAAGTAATTCCCTATTTTGTAGTTACTGCTTTTCAGATGTTCCAGTACAGGAAAGACATGGGCATACCAGAGACAAGATTAAAGAACCACTTAGGATGACTGAGTACTTGGGAGTACTTAAAGAGAAACTAAGAGTTTTAACCTTTCAGTTGAACTGGGATGTAAAATGAGTCAAGTTGAAATATTTAAAACTCTTGAGATTCATCTCACTTGGCTTTAGATGTCCTCTGTGAGTTGATCTGTCTAAGCTTTCATTTATAGCTGATAGAGAGGAATAAACTCTTCTATGATGCATCCTGACATAGGTATCTTAAAAACCCTTTGGGATGGATGAATGGTTGTTTGCACTGCAGAGGTAGCCTGCGTGGTGTAACCTAGCTTGGATGCCTGCAGCAGGGACACTTCGTCGGTCATTCGTACTTTTCTAAACAAGGAGTTTTAAATCAAAGTGTCTGAGGAAGTCAGTGGGAGCTTTGTGCACTAAATGTCTATGGCATTGTTCAAGGGACTGCTTTTAAAAAGTGTTGTTGGCATATAGGTTTCCCAGGTTTTTGTAGTGCACAGAGTATTGCTCGTAGCCATGTGGAATGTCAGCAGAAGCTTCACCCCAGTGTTGCAGAAGGCAGAGGTACTGGTGACATACCTTGATCAGCTGCAGCTGCCACGGGAAGTTGCAGTTACACCTGCTTGTATTGGAAGTGACAGAGCAGCTGGTTGGGGGAGGATGAGAACAGGAGGAAGCCAGCATCATCTCTCTTGGAATGAAAACACTAACAAACCTGTTTCTGGCTTTGGCTTTTTAAGGTCTCTTAAAGGGCAGAAAAAGATCATTCTGAATTGAGCAAAAGAGAATAATGATATAGTTTCGAAATAGCGCAACAAATCAAACATAGGCTGTCAGTGTTACCGAAAAAAATTCATTTTGAAAATTTTTAATGGCCACTTAATTACCTTTTCAAGCCATTTTTGTTGCAGTTTTTCAGATACAGTAGAGCAGTGTCATCTTGCAGACAAACTGCATTCAGTTTTTGAAAAACTTGAAGTGTGGACAGGTGGTTTATCACAGAAATGTCCCTCCTTAGTAAGATTTAAGTGTGACTGTTCAGATATACTATGCAAATGTGCCCCAGGAGTCTTACATATCAATGTGAATAAAACAACAAAATTAATGCAAATGAAATCTTGACCTTGGATACTTATCTGGAATGCTGGATTTCTCAAAGGCATGGGTGTTGTGCTGTCTAGCCTGTCTGTTACAAGCTGCCAGATTCTTGACATTTGTAATATAAGAAATAAATTCCCTACCTGAATGATTCAGATAGTGGTGAAACAGCACAGCTATGCACAGAAGTTCAGATAGGATGTAGTCTACTGTGTTGAGGGCATGAGGTCTAAGTCATTGTGTCCTCTAAGCTTCTTGATTTACTTCAAGGTGCTTTAACTTTGTTAAAAAAAAAAAAAGGAAAAGCAAAAATTCTTGATTACTAATTGCTTCAATAAACTTCATGGTTCATTTGGTAGGACATGGTTCCTCTGCTGTTGCTTGGAAAGACAGTGTGAATCATATTGAGGCTCCTTTGAAACCTCTGCAGTTCTTCTCATGGACTGATGCTGCCTTTTGGCATTTGTTGTAATTTTAATATTTAATATGTCGGTTCAGCCAGTTCTGAACAGCAGTTTAAAAAAAGAATCTGTTTTGCTTGCTAGTTTGAATGCTACTGTGGCACCGAAGTGTTGTCTGTCCATTAAATTCTTCATCACACCCAGAGGGACATGCAGGGTGTCACAGCCTGGGATTCATTCCAGTCACACTGTTTGTTACTTTTGACTTTTGTCAAAACAGCACATCAGTTGAATTGTCTGCATTTTAGTGCTTAAAACAGTTATCCAAGAAATAGATCAATAAATCAAAAATGTTGCTTTTTCCTTATATATTTATGGTAATTGTACAGTAATCTCCAGTGGTTTTGAGGACCTGTAGCTACTGTTTTAATAGAGCTGTAATATGTTTCTGATGCCCAGCCATAGCATTTTCCATAATGGTATGGGTTAATGCATATGACATTTTTGCAATACTCAGTTCTTAAAAGAAACCCCTTGAAAGCAAATAAAGCAGGGGACAACAGCAATTGATAACAGAGCAGAAAAAAAGCCCTGACTGACTAAACTTGTTCTCCTTCAGCTCTAGTGCATGTGGGCATGTCTTAGGAGAACTGTGTAAAATCCAAGAGAGATGACAGTATTTTAGACAGAGCTTGAAGTGAACATACTGAAGTCAGATAAAACTCTAAGATGATAATTTCTCTTCTTGTAAATTTGAACGCCTCTTCTATGCATTTGTTTGGTGGCTCATACTTAGTTATCATAGGGCTTGATATGCATGCAAAAGGTGTGTTCTTTCTGCCCTTTATCATTATTTTCCAGACCGTGTGTTCCAAATCTATACTTGTAAAGAGAATGGAATGCTTTGTAGGTTATCCAACAGACAGAATGGGATTTCAGTGCTGTGGCATGTAGATCTTCAGATCTGTGAATCTCAGATTCACAGGAAAGATACTTGTTTAACCTTTTTTTCCATCTGTCACTGCAGAGAAAAAAGAAGCTTTCATTGATTTTTGTCACTTGCTAGACAACAATAGATTCATGAGATGTGTCAAATTTGAAGCCTTTTCCTAAACATTCTAGTTATCTTTGTAAAATGATTAATATTTTAATGTGAGCAAAGAATTGTTTTATTCCACACCTCAGTCTTGGTAGCAGCTGAATGGATTGAGCTCATGCTTTCCCTGGCTAAAATTAATTGAAAGATATAATGAGGAAGGAAACTTTACCCAAAAATCTTAGCGTTTAGAAAAATCCACAAATGCAAATTTACTTCTGTAGTGAAGTATGGGGCATTTTGAGAACTGTATCTCATAGCTTTTATATGTCTTACAATTAATAGTTTTTGAGTTTACTGAAGAGAAAAGAATGCCCTTATGACATTGCTTCATTTACTGCCTTGTCTTTTTTCACCTTTGAAAGTGTTTTTTGTCTTATAAGCATTTAAAGAATCCCCATAAGAGATCAATGCTCCTGGCCATTGAGTCTTTCCTCCTCTATTTGAGGTTAACAAGCAATAGAACCTTTTTTTAATTATTTATTTTATATTAGTTCCACATCTTAGGGTCCAGTGAAAGGCAGCTACATGGAGTTGAATCACTTTCTGTTAGTGATTGAGATTAAGTCAGGACACCTCAGATTGATAGCAACACAATTTCTTCTGCTATCAGTGCAATAACAGTGAGAAAACTGGGAGAAAAAATAAAATTGAATCAGTGATGTTTCCTTCTGACTAATTTGTCATGTTTTCTTTCTAGGGAAATAAGACATGACATACTGTTGGGAGATTCAGCCAATTAATGTGTATATAATGAAATATTAGAGTGTTTGAAGTTGCATCACTTCTGTAGTACTGATAAATTTTGGCTGTTGTGTATTGTGTTAAAGGAATTTCAGTCTGAAATCAATGTTAGGCCACCTAATAGTGAAATTATGTTTTGTTTTTAAAGCAGCAGTATAATATTTGTTTCTTGTGTTGGTAATGGAATGTTTGTTTTGTTTGATGAATACTTTTTATTTTTCTTTCAGTGTTTTGTATCCTACTTGCGTTCAGTTTACTTAATGAAGAACAAGGAAGTATTCGATGTTTTCAAATTGCCTCTAGCAGAATATGCCCTGTAAGTATGGTCAACTTGGAATATGCAAACTATAGTGAGAAGTTTTGCAGTGTATGATAGCTTAAAATAGGTTTTTGACTATATTAACACACAGAATTGGACACTCTTGTGTTTAGTTTCATATTTGTGCTGTGCTTTTGCACATTTTCAAGGGCATTCTAAATAGAAATTGTGTGTAAAAATATATCGCTATAGAGAGAAGTAACTTACAGCAGGTGGTACATTTTCTGTATATAACAGAAGGTAAAACCTCTGAAATAGAATGAGTGAACACAATTTTTTTATCCCCCAGATTTGCCCATCAGCCTCAGAGCTAGTAAAGATGGAACATCTGCACTAGACTGAATGACATCTATTTTGCTATGTCTATTTTTGTACATGCATGTGAATCATTCCTCATTTTGCATGGGAGGAGAATTAATTTTGACAGGTTGACTTTACAGATGACAGACACCTGAAATGGTTTTAAGATGTGAAGCTTTTAAAATCTCATGGGACATAGGGTAGTCATAGGGGAGCAGGAAGGTGTTCAAAGGTACACGGTAGATTAGTTTGTCTCGGAAAGAGACAGGGAAGACTGAAGTTTTAAAACTTGTCAGCATGTGGCATAATGAGCTAAAATGTGACAAATTACTAGACTGTGGAACACCTGGTCTTTGTGTGTTGTGCTGCCATTAACATGATTACGTTTTTTAAGAAACATAAGCCTATTATAAAAGATGCTTTTTAACTTTATGGGCTGAGAAATCTTAAAAAAAGAACTGGCATAAACTTGAAAAATTTCACCATGTCCATTACCTGCCCCTTCACCTGTGTAATTTGTCAACATCTTTAAAATCTTATTGTAGGCCTTACTGTGCTGAATGTAAGGGATAGTGTCAGAAGATTAGGGCCACACATCTTACTAGTTTTAAGAAAATGACTGGCAGATGGTGGTAGTACTAAATTTTCAGAATCTCAGTGCCTCTTTCTAGATTTCAGCTTGGTGTGCCATCTAGAATCTGATATTGATATAGGCAGGGTAGTCTACAGTTCTGTTCGTCTCAGGTCTCTGTGCCAGGATTTGGTCCTTCATCAAAATAATTTCTAGTCCCAGTTTTACAAAACTACGAAGTCATTCCCACATTAAAATGCAGGAAACCACTCAGTAGTAGAGGTTTAGTCAAGGTTGTGAAATATATGGAAGTGTAATCAAAAAGTCAGAAGATAATAAATCTAGGAGATAATTTGAAGCTTCTGTTCTAGTTTGTTGGCACTCTTCTTCCGTGCTCTCCAGACTGGTTGTCTGCCTAAATACACCCTGCAGTTCCCTGGCTTTCAATTCAGTGCACATGCACTGATACATGGATCAGTCAGCTTAATTTATGTGAAAGTCCATCAAAGTCTGGTTTCTTTGAATTCTGCATTCAGAAGCAACCTTGGTTTACATTCTGCACAGAAACTTATGGCAAAACCTGGAATTGAGAATCCTTTCTTCCCTTTACTTTCTGTGTGCATTTTCTGAAAAGTATTTCAGCCTTTCTGTGAAGATTTACTGCTAGCTTGATAGATGTTATTCCACTAAAAATCCTGCAGAGAAAATAGGCTGCTTAATGCTCCTGTCAGGTTTGCATTTCAGGCTGTTGCCCACTTTGCCCATTGCTTTCTTGCCTGGCCTGTCTGTGTCCTGAGATTCTCTTAAGCTCTGTTGATTGAGTCTGCAGAAAAGCAATAATCTTGTTCATTTTTGTTTGTTATATAACGTTTATA